TTTTTTTGAGACAGAGTCTCACTCTGTCCCCCAGGCTGGGGTGCAGTGGCATGATCTCAGCTCACTGCAACCTCCATCTCCTAGATTATAGCAGTTCTCCTGCCTCAGTCTCCCAAGTTGCTGGGATTACAGGCATCTGCCACCAAGCCCTGCTAATTTTTATATTTTTAATAGAAACAGGGTTTCACCATGTCCACCAGGCAGCTTTTGAACTCCTGACCTCAAGTGATTCTCCCACCTCAGCCCCCCAAAGTGCTGGGACTACAGACTACTAATCCAGGAGGTGGTGGTTGCACTAAGCCGAAATCATGCCATTGCACTCCAGCCTGGGCAGCAGAGTGAGACTCTGTCTTAAAAGCCACCAAGCCTGGCCTGAAAAAAATCATTTTTTAATTGGGTTATCCTCTTCTCTTCACTGTCCATTCGAACTGATCCTCAAAAATGAGTAGGGAGTTGCCAGTCAGAAAAGTAAGAAGGCTCTACTGAGTAGAGAAAGCAGCCTGAGCAAAGATGAGACAGAATAAATTGTCCTGTGAGACAGGAGCACAGGATGTGTACTTTCTTATGTTTTTTCAATAGATATTTATTGAGTTTCTGCTATGTGTCAGACACTGTGCTTGAATGTTAGAGATTCAAAGGCAGATAAGAAACAATTTCTGTCTTCAAGAGGTTTGTACTTTAGCTGAGGATAAAAACAAACAGATAATTAGACATAATTTAGAACTGGGCTTGGTGGGTCATGCCTGTAATCTCAACACTTTGGGAGGCCAAGGTGGGAAGATCATTTGAGGCCTGGAGTGACCAGTCTGGGCAACATAGCAAGACCCCATCTCTACAAAAAAAAAATTTTTTTAATTAGCTGGGCATGGTGGTATGCACCTGTGGTCCTAGCTACTTGACAGGCTGAGTAGAGACTGTATCAAAAAAAAATTTAAATAGACCGGGCGCAGTGGCTCATGCCTATAATCCTAGCACTTTGGGAGGCCAAGGTGGGCGGATCACGAGGTCAGGAATTTGAGACCAGCCTGACCAACATGGAGAAACCCCGTCTCTACTAAAAATACAAAAATTAGCCAGGCATGATGGTGCGCACCTATAATCCCAGCTACTCAGGAGGCTGAGGCAAGAGAATTGCTTGAACCCGGGTGATGGAGGCTGCAGTGAGCCAAAATCATGCCACTGCACTCCAGCCTGGGTGACAGAGTGAGACTCCATCTCAAAAATAAATAAATAATAACATTAAAATAAATACGATTTGGTAGATGTAGGGATAGACATTATAAGATATAATGTGAATGGTCATTTAAGTAGCTAGGTTGGGCCGGGCACGGTGGCTCAAGCCTGTAATCCCAGCACTTTGGGAGGCTGAGGCGGGTGGATCACGAGGTCAAGAGATCGAGACCATCCTGGTCAACATGGTGAAACCCCGTCTCTACTA